TAATTCATTTAAATACATGGCTCATCCATGAAATTTGCTTAGTTGGTTTACTCTCCTACATAATACATAAATAAAATTGCTGGCTAAGTGTTTTTTTGCATTTATTGCGATAGAATAGTGATGCGGTATGAAAGGGAAGGGAGAAATTGCTTCCTGAGTACTCTTGTGGAGTTCAGTTCTATTGTTTGTGGTTTCAGGTATCGGTATTATTAGCTCAGTAAGATGATCATTTGTAGCCTACAAACAAAGTGTAAACAACAATCATAAAAGATTAAAGGCAATTAGGCAATGGACATAAGGGATACTGAAATGAATAAGCCAGTCAAAGGATCTAAACATCATCTAATTTCAGAAATGACCATCAATGCATCTTCTAGGGTTGGTCATTAAGTTTATTTTTGGATGCTTCAGTAGTCACAGCACTTAAACTGAATATCAAACATCATATGCTTGTGAGGATATTGTACCACTTCTGTTAAAAGAATTATAGTGTGCTATCATAAGTGGCATTTCTTAGCATGTGAGATCTTGATATGGAGTTTAATGCATAAATGAAAACATTTTAATTTGTTATTGATAACTTGTGATGCTTTGGAATAATTTACAATCTGGTCAATGTGAAGCATATGTAATCCTCAGAGGTGTCTATGTGAAACCAATGGGACTTAAAGCAGTTTAGCTTTGGCTGGATTGTGCTGTTAAGGTACAATATTTCTCGTCTTTTTTCTTCCCATGCCTTTATGATACAGGCCATTATAATTTCCATTTTCCCAGAATGGAAACAGAACTTGCAAGGTAATTGCATGTTGTTTATCTTACAAAAACCTGGGTGGCATTGCCCAGTGGACCCAGGTTGATGGGTATGAGAATGAACCCAGCTTTTTTGAGGTCCAGGACTAGTTTACTAATTGTGATGTGAGTGTTCACATTTGCTGTTAAATGTGTACCAGAGCAACAGTGATGTTTAACTTCTTAAGGCATAGCATGAGTTGTGAGAGAGGAAATCTGAGTTCACAATAATATAGGCCTGCTGGGCGTGGGAGCCTGTAAGTAACACTAAGATTATAGTTACAAGTTTTTGGCAGCTGTCATCACACTAATAGTACTAGTTGCTGTAGTCTGTCAATTGATAATTTTTTTCCCATGCACTTCATATGCAGCAGAAATTTCTGTGTAGAATGTGGTTGCACAAGTAGCATCTTGCACCTCCTGTACAGCTTTTCCTATCTCCATTTTGAGAGTTTTTTGAGGGGGGGAAGTTTCAGTTTATTGGAAGTTATACATTCTTTTGCTCATGTGCTGCTCTGCACATATTCTCTGCTTTATTTACTTCACTGGACAGCAGCATTTCATTCTCTCTCTATCATGCAGCAATGCTACTTTTCTGTCTGTTATGGGCCAGTACATTGTGCTTTTGCCACTGAAATGGGAGAAGGTGATATATTCTAATGCAGAGTGATAATACAGAAAGGTTCAGCCTTCTAGTTAACTACTTGCATGTTTATCCTGGGCAAGGATGAACTTATTCTGGGAGAATGGCTTGTCAGTTCTGTATGTAAAGAAGTTGTTGGGTGGTTAGGGTTGTCATGTTCCTGTTTGATTGCTGAACTAGCATAACTCGCTCTACGCAGGAATACCCTTGAGACTGACCCAGAAATTACAACTGTTCCAGAATGCAGTAGCCTGGGTCCTTATTGGGATCACACTGACAGCGCACATTCAACCGGTGCTTCGCCAGCTGCACTGGCTCCAGGTTGAATAGTGGATCAGTTTCAAGCTTCTGGTACTAACCTTTAAGTTAGCCTAAATGGTCTGGGACCAACTTACTTATGGGACCGCCTCTCCTGGTATACCCCCCAAAGAGCATTATGCTCTGGAGAGAAAAACCTCCTGGTTATCCCTGGCCCAAAAGATATCTGGCTTCCCTTAACCAGAGCCAGGGCTTTTCAGCCCTGGTCCTGGCATTAGCCTGATGGAACTCTCTGCCTAATGACATGCGTATCCTGCGGGACTTAGTCCTGTTCCGCAGGGCCTGTAAGACAGAGATGTTCTGCCAGGCCTGTGGTTGAGGAAAGCAACACTTTGCCATTGAACCTGGCCTCCTCCACTCCTTCCCCTTCTCCTCATGGGGAAAAGACATAAATTGATATTTAAACGCCGTCTGAATTAGTCTGTGATTTGTTATTGTTTTTAACTGTTTTAACTTTGTTATAATTTATTAATATATGTATTTATTGAATTATTTTCCACTGCCCTGAGCGCTGTATGGGGGAGGGCGCTCTATAAGTCAAATAAATAAATACATAAACTTTGCAAAATGTTTGCTAATTATGCAAATTGAACAGAATTGCCCCTGTGGTAGTCAAGAAGTGGAAACTATAGGGTACATTCTTCTTTAGTAAGTAAAGGTAAAGGTTCCCTTGCTCGAAAGCCAGTCGAGTCCGACTCTAGGGTTGCGGTGCTCATCTCCATTTCAAAGCCGAAGAGCCAGCGCTGTCCGAAGACGTTTCCGTGGTCATGTGGCCGGCATGACTAAACACCAAGGTGCACGGAACGCTGTTACCTTTCCACCGAAGTGGTACCTATTTATCTACTTGCAATTTCTTGCTTTCGAACTGCTAGGTTGGCAGGAGCTGGAACTAGAGACGGGAGCTCACTCCGTCATGCGGCAACTCGGGTCTCAAACTGGTGAACTACTGACCTTCCACAGCCTGCAGTTCAGCGCCTTAACCACTTGAGCCACCGCAGCTCCTGCCTCTTCTTTAGTGCCCTCTTTATAAAGATCTTTGAGATGAGCTACTTTTTCCTATTGTATGAAAAATCCCAGGAAGTACAGAAAAATCTTATCTTACTGTCCTCCTAGCAGATAAATACCATCAGATTACGGAGAAGGTAGCTAAATTTTGCTCAGTAGCAAAATGTATCTGTCCTTCATTTGAGTTTTAGTTATGTTGTATTCTATTAAACTGTTTATTTTATAAACATATTATATAGGTTTCTTAGTGTTTGAAAATGTGTTCTTTCTTTTTTTGTTTTATTGATTTTTATGGGATCTTTATTGTATTATGGAAATATTGTTAATTGTTCTGTAACTACTCTGGTTGCTGACCATATCAGTAAATAATACTAGTATGTTGATGGCTGCATTTGCTACCAGTTACTTTGTGTCTATTCGTCACAATCACTACAAAGAGTTGGGAGAATTGCAGGAAAGGTTTCTTTATCAGCCTTCTTGTTCATGCTCACACTTTTCCGCCAGGTAACAGTAGAGTGTATTGGAGGGAGAAATAAAGCAAGCATGGTAATCATACGGTGATTTTTCTCATTGGCTAAAAGTTGGGAACAGGCTCATTTTTCAACAGGCAATTGGGAAGAATACTGTCTATCCATTTTGCACTGTATCTCGAGATCTACAAGAATTAAGGACTGTTCCTTAAAAATGAAAGTTGCAAATTCTGTTCAGTTAATGGCTCTAAATTATCAGAATTGTCTTTTGAGGTATGCCAGCATTCCATTCTATCACCAGTGTGCAAAGACATGAAGTTGCTACGAGAGACCTTTATATCAATAATAGACTTTCCTTTTACGATAAAACTCAGTTATGAGTTGTATGTCTTAATGCATCTGATTCTATAAGAACATAAGAGACACCAATGTTGGATCAGGCCAAAGGCCCATCCAGTCAAACACTCTGTCACACAGTGGCCAGAAATACGAGGTGCCATCAGGAGGTCCAGCAGTGGGGCCAGGACATTAGAAGCCCTCCCACTGTGGACCCCCCCTAGCACCAAGAAGACATAGCATCACTTGCCCCAGATCAAGAGCCCCTATCTATACCTTGTGGCTAATAGCCACTGATGGACCTCTGCTCCATATGCTTATCTAATTCCCTTTTGAAGCCGTCCATGCTTGTAGCCGCCACCACTTAGTGTGGCAGTGAATACCATGTGTTAATCACTCTTTGGGTGAAGATTCCCTTACAGAACCCATGCTGAGTCTGGAGGATTGGAAACAAGCCACTGGTTTTTACCTTTTCCTCTTTCCTCAGGGTGGCTGATGTACGGGTGAGAGGCCATATTTAACTCACTGACACCTGTGGTGCAGCATGCAGCCCCCTACCAATTTGGGCTATGTGCCAGCAAGTAGCTGCAGCTCTGAGTAGGGGCTGGTATCAGGTTAGCCGGGTGTCAATGAAGCAATGCCACAAGAGATGGATGAAAATTTTTGGGTGAACTGCTGAAAGACAATGACACCTGGGACACTTTTCCTTTGAAATGCCTGGAACCAGGTTTTGACAAGTGAAACTGAGTGGAGGTTAAGTCCCTTCTCCCTTCCTTGTACAATCCAGAGCCAAGCTTAGGCCATGTGAGCCTGCAATTTGCAATCTATCTATGGAGTGAGGGGGTGGCTTTTAGTCAAGGCTGATTTTGATCCATGTAAATGTCTGAGTGTTATGCATCCCCGCTCACTCTTGTGTAAACCTTCCTCTTTCCACTCTGAATTGATTATGTCTAGAATTTGCTCACCAGATCAGAATCCCACTTCACATTAGCGTTTCTGATTCATAGGGAAAGCATTACTTGGCTGATTTGAACATTACACCAAACTATGGCTACTCCTGAACAGGAAAGAGGGAAGTTGTGTGTGAGAAGGGAGGAGGGAGTGTGAGGGTCCATACCACAGGTCATTCACATGTTTGGAGAATCACTTGAACTGAACCTATGTGAAATTCATACAAGTGTACAGTATGGTAAGCACACATCTTTGAATCACAAAGCAAGCTAATATCCAGGTTACTCATGTTCAGGCTTCCAGGTAATACTACAAATATTTAAGAGAATGAATTAATTACAACAACAGAATAACAATCCTGAAAATGTCCTGTTTAGATTTATTGCAGCATTTTCTCCAAGGCATTAAAATTTTAGTTTATAATTGTTTGTATATATTTAAATTATTTTTATTTTTATTATTTAAAATAATTTCTTCTTGTTTCACAGAAGAAGCCTACAAGTACTGGCATCACTGAACCTCTCAAAACACACACAAGTGGAACACCTTCCATCAGTAAGGTAACTTACGTTTTTATGTACTGCTTGTCTTGTTGAAAGCAAGATCAACAGATGTGCTGCTGAAACCCTAACGTTACTTTTAGGCTGATGTTGCTTGTCCACATGGCCAGGTTATGGTCTCTGACAATGAGTCTGAGCATTCTGTTTTGTCATAATATACTGGTATTCCTCGCCTACATTTCCTAGTTCTACAGACCAGCAATTTGAGGCATGTGGAAAGGCTGGCATACTTCATTCCCTTCCCTTACATTTCCCAAATACCCCCCTAATGCTTTTTCTGGGGTTCCCTGTCTAGTTCCCTGCTTGTGACTGCACTGCTCTTCCTGCTGGGAGGATTTAGGCTGCAACTTTATTGATTACAGATTCTTCAGGTCTTGGTGCTGTATAGACTGGGGGCAATGGGTGTGTTTCACAGCCCAACTGCTGTCAGCATCTTCCTCAACCAGCCTGTTGAGGTAACAGAGGGCTGATATTAAGACTGGAAGCAGTGGAAACCACTATTCCTAGCCATCAACGTCCTCCTGGGTGTGTTGCCAGCCCCAGGTTTTGTTGTCCTGTGCCCCACCTCCCAGAGCCTCTTAAGGGGACTCTCGTTTTGGTCATACGGGGATCCCACCTGCACTGTGTTTCCTTGCGAGTGCCTAAACGCCACAGGAAGCAGGCAGCTTAGCTTGCCTGGCTCCACTGCCAAACCAAAGGAACCTCTAATAACCACACCAATCCAGCATGGGGATCCACAAGCCAGTTTGGTGCATTGGTTAAGTGCACGGACTCTAATCTGGAAGAACCGGGTTTGATTCCTCACTCCTCCACTTGCACCTGCCTGGATGTCCTGGGGTAAGCCATAGTTCTGGCACAGCTGTTGTTGAAAAAGAGCAGTTTCTGTCAGAGCTCTCTCAGCCCCACCTGCCTCACAGGGTGTCTGTTGTGGGGAGGGGAATGGAAAGGAGTTTGTAAGCCGCTCTGAGACTCACTTCTTCTTCTTCTATGTCATTGACCTCTGTGTGGTGGTGTACTGCATCCAGTCTGTAAAGACCACCTTGCTTGTGGAAAAGTCCAGGGTGCTCAATCACCCCAACCCATGGGCTAGAATAAGGCCCAGTGCCTTGGAGAGATGCACTCCATCCAGCTGACATAGGGCAGAAGTCCTGGGTCCTTGATCACCTCCACTTCATAGGCTAAAGCAAAGGCTGGGAGAGACTTTGAGAGGTGTTCTCCTTCTGGTTTGCAAAGACTACCTCAGATGTGGGAAAGTCCCAGGTGTTTGATCACCCCATCACATTGGACTAGAACAAGGGCTCAGAGTGCCTTTGTTTGTACTCTATCCAGCCTGTCAAGTGGGAAATTGCTGGGTACACTATCACCCCACCCCATGGGATCCACTGTGGGTATTGCTTGAGATCATCCTTGGTTCAGCACAGGAAAGGAAAATACCCCAGTTGTGGAGACCTAAAACATCAGAATGGTCATGGTGAGCAGCAACCTCAGCAAGGGTTGGTATCAGGTGTTTCCAGCGCATGCCCCTTCAGCCAAGTTGCATGATTCCCCTAGCCTAGTCTGGGATCCCTATCCAAACATGATGCTTGTGCCCTCAGACTCATACAGCCTTCCTTCTGTGAGGCACAATTAGAGAAACAAATGAGTTAGAGGCAGGCAACCATGTGCAGTTTCCCATAAGATCTGAATGCAGCCTCCCCCCCTCGCAGTTTTGCATCTAGAGTTGGGTAACCCCCAAAATGCTGCTGAAGCTGCACTTCCATTCCTCTGGGAATGCATCCCAAAGTCAAATGGTTAAAGACCAGTAGATGTCAGTGCAGCCTAGACTGCTGCACAAAACTGAATTCTAATGAGGGAATGCTGGCCTTAATGTATTAGCAGGGGACCATACCCTGTTGGGTGGATGTTGGGGCCACTTCCACTTACAACATGTCTAGAAGTTTCACTGAAGTTTTAATGTGATTTTTGTTGTTGGGGGGGTTAACTAATTTATAAAAGACAAGATATATAAAAAATGCAAATGTATGAATCTGTCAGATCTTTGGTCCACCTATCTTAGTAATGCTTGCTTGCAGCTGGCAGTGTGGTCTGTAATCCTGTGGCACTGTAAAGACTAATTGACAAATTTATTGTAGGATAAGCTTCTGTGGGATTGAATCTGCTTCATCAGATGCTGTAAAACGAGTTTTTGGTCAGCAAGTCTTCTGTACACAGAGGCAGAATGGGTTAGATTTGAAGGTCAGTTTCCACTGATGGAAGGCACTTTTATCAGTGGAAGCGTGAGGGCACCATTAACCAGTTTTCTTCTTCCCCTGCTGTGCCCCCAGATGCTGTTCCTGAGGGTGTCCTGACTCCTTCCTCCCCAGGAGCATTTTGCAGAGCTTATATTGGTTGCAGTGGGAGGGAAAGTTCTGTTTGGTCAGGGGAGCTTTGCTGACAGTTCTTTGGATGCAGCCTCCCCCCCTTTAAGTGTAATGACCATCCCCTGTGCATTCTGGAATATAAGGTAAAGGTAAAGGTTCCCTACTGATGGAAGGCACTTTTATCAGTGGAAGCGTGAGGGCACCATTAACCAGTTTTCTTCTTCCCCTGCTGTGCCCCCAGATGCTGTTCCTGAGGGTGTCCTGACTCCTTCCTCCCCAGGAGCATTTTGCAGAGCTTATATTGGTTGCAGTGGGAGGGAAAGTTCTGTTTGGTCAGGGGAGCTTTGCTGACAGTTCTTTGGATGCAGCCTCCCCCCCTTTAAGTGTAATGACTATCCCCTGTGCATTCTGGAATATAAGGTAAAGGTAAAGGTTCCCTTGCTCGAAAGCCAGTCGAATCCATTGGTGGTGATGGTTTGGGGTGGTAGTGCTGAAATATTTCTTAAGATTTCGAAGCAAGAAGGAAGTGATCATATTATGAGGTGTTTAATATCTTTGTTGTTGAATAAGTGGGAGCTTCCAAAGAGCGTCTTCATAAGTGAAGTAATGGCATGGGGATTGTGTTCCTTCCACGGAAGGGAAAGTCAACAAAAAAGATTCATGTATTTTGTAGTCTCACTTTGGGTCCTTCTGGTTCCTTTGGTAACTTTAAGTTCAGGAAAATAAAGTAGCTCCAAAGCCTGGTGATAAATCTGTCCATTGCCTACTTAATAACAAACCACTAGGGAAAAGGAGGTTCATTTGACATGAGCAAGACTTCCTGTTTCCGTTTTGGTTAGGCTAGCCTTGCCCCTTCTTGAGGAACTGTCAAAATGTTTCTACTACATATTCATAAGGGAGGTGGAGCCATTCAGCCTGCAGGCAGAGTCTGCTTGGATACATTCCTCTTCAAACGACGTAGCTTTGATCAGGTCTTGTTATATCTGAAACCATGGGCAGAATGGATAGAAACTGAAATGAAAACTAGCTTCTGATCTGCTAAGTTAGACTTTAGGAAAGAATATACCAGCTGTGCAGAGTGAGTACTGCTTTTTTTGTTTTTGGAATGGATTTGTTACTCTCTGGGTTAATGGCAGTATGGAGTTCCTTCTTTCTCTTCCTCCTCCTCCCAGTTCTCCAGAATTCTCAGTGCTGTCGAAACATGAGCAGCTGATTTTGTTAGAGGCGTGCTTTACAAGTGGGTTGAAGCATTCCGGGCATTGCAGAATTGACAACTAAGTAATCACCTTATTAATATGCATGTCACATCATTTTCAACTGTATCAGTGATATCCTTTCCTCAAAGGACTCCTGATTGTCATTTGGGGTGTTTTCAGAAAAGATGTTACGAAAGCAGTGACTCATGACTTAGCAGATCTTTAGACAGAAGTGAAATTTTTGTAACTGCATGTCTGAGGGTGATTTATCAACTTTATGTTCACTTCAGCTGCCTGGCGGAAGACCATGTTTGTGTCTTCAGAATTTGGTGTGTCATTGCTGACTGTCTCTTTAGTGTAGAGAATTGTGTATGTAGGGTGTGGTGATCTGTGTAACAGGATTTCTTTCTTTGTTGAGGCATGCCTGGGTAAGTATTGTCCTTTGCATCCCACAGGTGACTTTTACTGTAATGTCAAATTTTGGGTATTTTGATAACAATGAAATTGGGGGCTTAAAACTGTAGCTAAATAAGCAGTGGAAATGTTTGTGTATGTTCAAAAGCAGATAATCAAAAATACTTTCATGACCATTTTTTAAACGCTGAAGAGCCTAACAGTTAATATTTTTTTTTTTAGCTTGTGCAGTCATATGCATTCTTTAAATTGCCAACTTTGACTGGACTGAATTGCCTACTTCTTTGTCTGTGAAGTCAGTGGAATCTATATGAGAATTAATTGCGAGAACTGCTTGCAACATATGTGGTTTCATGGGCAGAAACTGAAGGCACACAGAGACATTAAGTAGTAAATCTCAACTCAAAAATCTCAAACTTTTTAAAAAAGTATGTGCTTAAAAAAAAACCCTGTAGCAATGGCAATGGCAGCAGAAAAACCATCTAATCATGCAAGGAAACTGTGTAATTGTACAATCAGATGGATCTGAATTCTCAGTTATTCTTTCTGAACAGTTGGCTCTCTGTTTATGACTGGCAAGCAGGGCAAGGGCCAAACATGCATAATCTTGTATGACTATCAGACTTGTTCTGAGGAATCAAAGCTTGAGACTATTAAGAAAAGTTTATAGGATGCACAAGCACTTTCCTGTGGGGCCAAACATAGTCTTTACCTGCGATTAAATGCACAAATAATTGCATTGTAGGATATAAACAACTCTATCTCTCTGGAATCCAATGTAGCATTTCTCAGAGAGTATCATTTAACATTCCAGTCTCCTTATCTGGTGCCTTGTAGTGCTTCAGTTCTAGTACAAAACAGGACACTCAGACACTCAGGCTATTTTCTAATTTGATTTTGTCAGAAAATAACTTTTAAAATAGCTTTTTTTTCAATTGATACCATAGAAATGCTTTCCGTAATTCTAATTTAAACACACTAGTATGTCATAAATTTCCCACGCTTAATGTTGGATCAGACCAATGGCCCA